TCATCCATACCCCGGGCCAAGCGGGGGCCCCCCTGGGGGGGCCCCCTGGGGGCCCCCCCTGGGGGCCCCTCAGGGGGCCCCTCAGGGGGGCCCCCAGGGGGGCCCCCAGGGGGCCCCCCGGGGGCCCCCTGGGGCTTTGAGAAGATGTGGGGTTTGAGGAGGACGCCTGAGGAGTCTAAAAGACCCATTTTGCTGGCGTGCTGCAGCAGCAGCAGCAGCAGCAGCAGCAGCACGAGCAGCAGCAGTAGCAGCAGCAGTAGCAGCAGCAGTAGCAGCAGCAGTAGCAGCAGCAGCAGCAGCATAAAGAGAGACAGGAAAGGGAGAGACAGTCAGAGAGAGGCCTTGTTAAAGCAGGCGCAGCTCAGTGCCAGCTAGGCTCTAGGGTTTAGGGTTTAGGGTTTAGGGTTTAGGGTTTAGGGTTTAGGGTTTACGTTCCAGAACAGGCGCCGCTGCCTCCTGGACTCCTCCATTTGCTGCCAAATATATTTCTGCCTTTCAGTGCCCACGGGCCGGGCGGGCCGCAGCTCTCCGGGTCTAAACACAAACCCCAAACCCCAAACCCTAAACCCTAAACCCTAAACCCTAGATCCTGGTTAATCAGCTGCAACTAGGGTGCGGCGTGGCTGCGTTAGGGTCTGGGGTGGGCGGAGTTGCTGGGCGTTGGGGTTCGCCTAGCCCCAAAACCCTAATTTGGGGTTTAGGGTTTCGGCGCGCCCAAAACCCCAATTTAGGGTTTAGGGGTTGGGCGTCCCCTAAACCCTAATTTAGGGTTTGGCGCTTGGTGGCCCCGAAAACCCTGATTTAGGGTTTGGGGGGGGCCTCGCAAACCCTAATTTAGGGTTTAGGGTTTGGACCTGTCGACGAATTCGATGTAGGCCATGGGCGCCGCGTCTCGCATTCGAAGTCGAAATTGATTTACAACTCTCGTGAAGAAGAAGTTGCGGTGTACGTACACCCCAACGAGCTCCTCCAGCAACCGCCGCCGAGCTGCGGGGGTCCGCAAAATGGACTCCACTGCGAGGGTTTTCTCGGGACCTGCAGCAAACCCTAAACCCTAAACCCTAGCTAGGCCCTGAACAAAATGGACTCCACGAGGGTTTTTTCCGGCCCTGCAGCAAACCCTAAACCCTAAACCCTAAACCCTAGCTAGGCCCTGGGCGCTGCGGACTGCGCGCAAAGAGAATTTGGGTCACTGGAAATTCAAGTGCAAACCCTAGAAACTCGCAAACCCTAAACCCTACGCGAACCCTAAACCCTAAACCCTAAACCCTAAACCCTAAGCAAACCCTAAACCCTAAACCCTCAGCAAACCCTTGACCAGCTGGCACCCCAACGAACTCCCAATAGTGCCGCGCGCAGCAGCCGCGGAGCAGCCCCGAACGCCTGCAACCTAGGCCTTAGGGTTTAGGGTTTAGGGTTTAGGGTTTAGGGTTTAGGGTTTAGGGTTTGTACCGCGTTTGGCAAGGTGAATGAGCTCCTCCGCGTAGGGCTGCAGCTCTTTGGCCCGAGTGATGGTGGTTTCCAAACGCCCGAAGCGCAGCAGCTGGTCCAGCTGGTTTCTGCGCAAAACCCTAAACCCTAAACCCTAAACCCTAAACCCTAAACCCTAAACCCTCAGCAGGCCCCAGGCCGGTCTCTCCCCCCGCTGAAACCCTCGCGGAAGAACCCTTAGAGCGCGCCTCCAGCAAACCCTAAACCCTAGTTCGGGACCCTCGCTTCGCCTCCACGCTACCCAAACCCTAAACCCTAAACCCTAAACCCTAAACCCTAAACCCTAAACCCTAAACCCTAATTCGCACCTTATGGCGTCCCAGCGGTGGGGCGGCTGCTTCTTCGTGCGCCTCCAAGTCCTCCGCCTTATCCCCAAATTCAAAAGCTTAAACGTGCTGGTAAACCCCATTGCTGCTGCTGCTGCTGCTGCTGTTGCTGCTGCTGCTGCTGCTGCTGTTGCTGCTGCTGCTGCTGCAATGCTGCTGTTGCTGCTGCTGCAGCGGCACTGGGATCTTTTGCAGCAGCAGCTGTTGCTGCCGCTAAGGCTGCCTCTGCTTCAGCGGCCGCTGCTGCTGCTTCGAACTTTAGCTGCTGCTGCTGCTCCAGGCTTGTGCTGCTGCTGCTGTTGCTGCTGCTGCTGCTGTTGCTGCTGCTGCTGCTGCTAGGGATGCTACCACTGCTGCTGCTCACGTGTGAGTTCTCACTTGGCGAGCACTCTTCTGTGTCCCTCCTGCTGCTGCTGCTGCTGCTGCTGCTGCTGCTGCTGCACTTGGTACTTCACCTGCTGCTGCTGCTGCTGCTGCTGCACTTGGTACTTCACCTGCTGCTGCTGCTGCTGCTCTTGCTGCTGTTGATAAATTGCCAGACTGCAGCAGCAGCAACCGACTCCAGCAGCAGCAGCAGGGGGGCCCCTCAGGCAGCGGCGGGGGCCCCTGGGCTTACGCTTCGTTTGTTTGCTAAACCCTAAACCCTAAACCCTAAACCCTAAACCCGAATCATACAAAAAAGATTGGCTAAAAGCTAAACCCTAGAAGGGAAGAAGCTGAGGACAGCAGCAAACCTTCCGGGGCCCCTGGGGGCCCAGCGGCTAGGGTTTAGAGCTGAGGGTTTAGGGCCTAGGGTTTAGGGTTTGCAGTTGGGGTTTTATTATTCACAGAAACTTCGAAATTATTTTTCAGTTATGAACTTTTGCTTCGCAAACCCTAAACCCTAAACCCTAAACCCTCGGAGTGAAACGCAGCCGACATCCTGCCGTGCCCCCAACAGCGCGGCCTGCCAACCTCCGCTTCAGGGTTTAGGGTTTAGGGTTTAGGGTTTAGGGTTTAGGCCCTACAGCTGCTTCCAGCTGCTATGATGAGGGTTTCCACAGCCTTCCGCCTCATATCTATGAGGGCCAGGGGCAGCAGCAGCAGCAGCAGCAGCAGCTGCTGCTGCTGCTGCTGCTCTCGTTATTACTTCGGCAGCTTTCTCCGCAGCAACAGCAGCAGCAACAGAAGCAGCTGTGTAAGGATGTACTCGTATCTAACCAGCTGCAGCAGCAGCAACAACAAATGCAGCAGCAGCAGCAGCAGCAGCAGCAGCAGCAGCAGCAGCAGCAGCAGCACAGTGTTTGTCCGTGCGCTGCACAGCACTGCGCCTGAGGGGCCGAAACCCGCAGCAGAAGCTGCCGCAGGAGCAGCGGGAGAAGCAGCCCCAGCAGCAGCAGCAGCAGCAGCAGCAGCAGCAGCAGAAGCAGCAGCAGCAGCAGCAGCAGCAAAAATGCCCCTCAGGGGCTGGGCGCTGCTGGGCTGCAGCCTGGCACTTCTTGCTGGGGGTTTGGGCAGCGCCGTGTGGCTCTTTTTGGATTCTCCAGAACCCCTTAAAGTGGCGTGGGACGCAATTCAGTGGGGTTTAGGGTTTAGGGTTTAGGGTTTAGGGTTTAGGGTTTGGGGTTTAGGGTTTGGACGGCCGACGGGAAGGGCGGGGCGCCTTGGAAACCCTCGGGGGCGGTTCTGAAGCGCAGTGGCAGGCCCCAGTTTAGGGTTTGGGGGCCTGGGCTTAGGGTTTAGGGTTTAGGGTTTAGGGTTTAGGGTTTAGGGTTTAGGGTTTAGGGTTTGCTGCAGGAAAGACCCTCGAGTTGTGGGCGCGCTGGGCGGAGAGGTAAAGAGGGGCTGGTGGTGGGGGGGTTTTGTTCACGAGAAAGATGCGCGGGTTAAGTTGTCTCTTACAGGTAAACCCTAAACCCTAAACCCCAAACCCTAAACCCTAAACCCTAAACCCTAAACCCTAAAGCCTCTCTGGCGAAGGGCCCGCGCATCGCGCTCCAGCCCCTTCGGTGGTGGCGCTGCTTGGAAGGCCGGAAAGCTCCCACACACCGTTCAGGACCTAGGGTTTAGGGTTTAGGGTTTAGGGTTTAGGGTTTAGGGTTTGGGGTGCAGGCCCCCAGGGGCAGCGCGGCTTCGCCACCTGCGACCTAATGAAAGACCCTGAAGGGCCCTGGAGGATTTTGCTGCTAAACTTTGTGCCTCTAGATGAGCCGCAGACGCAAGGTTTGCTGCTGCTGCTGCTGCTGCTGCTGCTGCTGCTGCTGCTGCTGCTGTGGCTGCTGCTGCTGTTGCTGCTGTTCGGCTGCGCGTGTGCTTGCAGCGCCAGAGCCAATTACCTGATGCTTCCACTTGCTGCTGTTGCTGCTGCTGTTACTGTTGCTGCTGCTGCTGTTCTTTAAATCCGCATATTCATTGTTCTCCTTGCTGCTGCTGCTGCTGCTGCTGCTGCTGCTGCTGCTGCTGCTGCTGCTGCTGCTGTGCGCAGCTACGGCCAATCCTATGTCGAATGTGGTGGCGCTGATGCCTGAGCAGCTTCCGCGAGAGAAGCAGCAGCAGAACTTCTTGAGGGGCAAGACAGAGCCTGAGGCTTGAGGGTTTAGGGTTTAGGGTTTAGGGTTTAGGGTTTAGGGTTTAGGGTTTAGGATTTGTTTTATGGTCTCCACCACTAAAGAGCGGAGGCAAACAAAGCAAGGAAGCTGCAGCTGCAGCAACTCAGACCGCAACAGCAGCAGAATGAGCAGCAGCAGCAGCAGCAGCTGCTGCTGCTGCTGCTGGAGCTGCAGCAGCAACTGCAGCAGCAGCAGAAGTAGTAGCTGCTGCTGCAGCAGCTACTGCTGCAGCAGCAGCTGTGCAGGCTGCTGAGGTGTACATACACCTCAAGCGCACCGCTCGAACGATGGAGTCTTTTGGTTTTTTCTTCGATTTGTAATTTCAATTAATTCATTTAATTCAATTAATTAATTTAATTTAATTAATTCAATTAAATTAATTTAATTAATTAATTCTTTTATTTATTTTTCCCTTCAAAGGCAACAAAAGAAGAAATGGAATGCAGCAGAAAAGAGAGCGAGGACACTGCGGATGTCTGAAGCCTAGGGTTTAGGGTTTAGGGTTTAGGGTTTAGGGTTTAGGGTTTAGAGTTTGTAAGGCTGTTTGCTGCTCTACTGCTGCTTCTGGGGCTCTTTTGACCTCATTGACAAAAGT